GGGGGGGGGGGGGGGGTGGTTTAAAGACTGAGAGCAGGGAGGACAGTGGGAGTGATGGAGGATTGTTAAGGAGATGATAGAAACATGTTGCAGCAGGGGTGGAGGGGGTGGGGGGTAAGAGGTGGAGGAGTAAGTCAGACGGAGAGAAAGAAGAAGAAAGATGGATGTGCTGCTTTATAAAAAGCAGCGCTGAGGTCGGCTAGCTTTCTGGATATGCAGGGCTAGTCCAAGCGAAAGGGATGAAGTGTGTTAATAGTTGTAGACACAGCTATAGTGTGTCAGAGTTCAGCTGTTGAAGTGAAGCGCTACTCCCCCAGCTCCAGGTGTGTGAGAGTGTGTTATCCAAACGTAGAGGAGTTCTGCAGCTGTTCGTACGGAGCAAGCAGACAGTCAGTTATCAGTTTCACATGCTAATTTCTCTTTCCTTTCTTTGTAACCCCTCATCTGTCACTCCACAGCACTTCATTTGTTTAGAAAAAGAAAATATGCAGCAAGAGAATGTTGAAAGAGCGAAGGAAAGTGGCTCTGTGTCAGATATTTCCAAACTGCCACACAAATTTGTAGATTCTGGGTTATTGTTTGGTATTGCTGCTGTTATTACATATGGTTAAGTAATGAAGGCTCCACCATACAAGACCACACGAGACAGGCATCACAGACAGCCTAATGGACTGCTCCCTCTCTGTGCCCTCAGCCTGGCAAGGCTGGCTGCCTCCAGTTAAAACACTTCCTCCGAATGTTTATAAAAGCACTCAGCCTGGATTATATGGCCTCTAATATACAACGATTATCTTCAGCCTTCAGCCTGAGTCATTGGAAAAAAAATCTTTTATATACAATCTTGTTATCGCTGGGTGTAAAGGACATTTCATATTAGCAGCAGTGACTTATGCATCTGTGTTAACAGTTTGTAACACGGTGTCTCATTAATCAGATAGAGGTTTTATAATGAGTTGATATAGTGTTATTCTGGGAGATAAACTCATAGCGCAGTGTGAGAGAGAAGAATAGGGGTTGGAGGGAGGGCTAAGAGGGCACGTTTCCCTCCCTGTCAGTACATACACACACATTAAGGAGGATTTATGGAAGGTTGAGGGCGGCCGTAGATAAAATCATTTGTTTGTTTGACCTCTTGTTCAACAGCAGAGGAAGGGTGTTGTTTGTGTGCGCTCACCTATAATTCAGGATGCTCGCTGCGGCAAGGAAAGCGTTTGCTTGAGGGTTTTTAAAGGAACATTGGGGTATTTTTCCAGCTATTCCTCTGCCAACGATGTGTTTTAGCTTTCCTCGGGGAAGGCTTAGATGTGTGTCGTTAGCTCTGTGCATCTTCACATGGAACAGACGGTCCAGCTCCAGCAGGTTTCTATAGCAGAGGGCAGCGGTGCTCCCTTCATGGGGTCCGAGCTGAAACCGCTGTCTGTGAACAGATGTGACTCTCTCACCCTGAGTGTTTGTTTTTCTTTATCTATTTATCCCTATATGTGTGTGTGTTTGTGATTGTGTGTGTGTGCAGGTCAGGTAATGACAGCAGGGATAGCTGAGATACTAAACGGCTACTCTTTGAAGGCAGTGCTGAGACGGGTTCCAGGAGAGAAACACACCAGAGCAGCTGAGGACACACACGACGACAGCTACCTTGGTAACATGCATTTACAAAACAAACACGCACACTAAATAATTATCCTACATTACATTCCATACATCACATACAGTTTACAGAGAGCACTGTGTACAGAGTTAATTTCACCCACATGTTTTCATGTGCAACTGATTTCTCTCTCTAGGTTACTCTGTGGCAGTGGGAGAGTTTACAGGAGACTCTGAACAAGGTGAGAAATCCAACAATTCATTACAACTAACCACATGCAGCACCAGAGGAATCCCTCACTAACAACATCAGCAGGCACTCTGCAACATCGTCTGAAACAGCTGGAACACTCTCTGTATACTCTCCGGCTAGATGCCAGGACCACTGTGACGGGTGTAAAAGAGGTTGAGCGATAAGGAGTGGACAGTTGTGTGACAGTGTCTTGGTCTGAACTCAGAGGCAGTAATGAGAACTGTCTCTGTATGTCTGGGTCGCGACCCTGAGGGGACAGGACTTCAGGAACAACTGATAAAGGGATTTCCTCTCCTCCATTTTGACTGATTAGAATGATTAGTGGCAGACTCTGCAGACCTCTTCAGATTTTGAGTGAGTCTTCTCTGGACTTGAAATATTAGGTGGGAAGAGAGACAGGCACGCCACAGCATCATTTTATTAAACACGTGCAGGTGGGGGAAAGTGCCTTTGAGTTTATGTTTGTTGAACCTTTCAAATCATAGGTCATAGAAGTAAGTATTAGAAATGTTCAAATCATTTTATTTTTCTTAGTTATACTCTCTGGTGTCTTGCCAACAGTGCAGCATTTTGATTCCTATCTCTTTGCGAGCTTCAGGTGTTGCTGATGTTCATTCCCATGCCATCAGTTTTTCAGTAAATTAAACACACAAGCCAATTTCAACATAAAAGCGCAGCTCTTTGATTAAAGAAAATATGTGTCCAACCACAGTCATGCTACATCATTTTCTAAACCCTTTTTTTATTGCTTTCTTTTCAAACACAAGCACGAGACCCTTCCCCCCAATGCCACTACAGCTTCCCATTCATAATTTCCTGTCTATCAGAGCCTCTTTGCTAATTCCCATTTAGTGGGATCTTTACGGGACAGCCTTGCGTTTACATACCCCCATACCAACCCCGCAAAGGCCCTGAACCCCCTCAAGCGCAACACATGTCAGAGAGTCTTAAAGTGAACCATAAGAGGTTACACATGCCTGTTGATGTGTTGTGTTGTGGTACGAAGCTTGTTGTGGTCTTGTTCCCCCCAAACTCTCTTCAGACTGGAGAACTGGTCGTAACTGGGAGTTCTGAGTGAAGACGGAGCTGGGAAGTCCTGGTTTATAAGCTTGTGGTTGAGCCTTTTGGGTAGAGGGCTGGAAGGGGGGCACTCTATCTTCTCTCTCTGGGTGGGTCCTTCAGATTGTCCCTATAAGACGAAGGCACCGCACTCATCAATCAATACACAAGTAGAGCCTGAGCACCCAATCACTCAGTGTGTTCTCAGCGACACTTTGCCCTTCTGACAGGGTGGGCTGGGTAGGGCATTTTAAGGTTTAGGCCTTTGAGACAAACTTCCGTTGAGCACTTTCTTTCTCCGTAAGTCTTTCTCACACTTTGACATATGCTAATTTAAGTCTTTCTTTGTTTCCCAGAGCTGATAGCCGGAGTCCCAAGAGGAGCACAAAACTTTGGATATGTGAGTATGAATCGCAATGAGATAAAAGGCACACAGGATGGATTTTTTTGGCCTAGATTTCCAGGAAAAGACATTTATTTGTTCATTCAGCTGCAACAGCATTTTACAGGCAGAATCATTATTGTGAGTCATATGTTATGGCCTTTGCAGTCACCAGATCTCATCCCAGTTGAACACCTATAAGAGATTTTGGTCTGTAACCAAAACACCAAATAAGGGAATATATTTTGGGTTTTAGGATGGTGTTCATCCCTCCTGTATGTTTCCAGAGGGAAGGACCTTTAAAGCTGTTTTGGCAGCTTAGAGCGAAACTTAATATTGTTTTTTTTCTTTACTTTGTCACTGTACGCTGTATACAAACCTGGTAGTTCTTGCCAAGTTGTATGTGTCGCAGTCTGAGATAAGAAGTGCAGGAGAGATCAGAGAGTTTTTATGTGCAGACACACACGCACACAATAAAGTCCTTCTGGATTCTTCTGCTTTTAGTGTTTCATATAGGATTACAGCTTTCATTGTACACATATGTATCTACATAGCAACACCAGATACTGTATGTGCATCTATGCTTAAAATGTGGTGTGTTCTCTTATGGGAACATGTCCCCAGGGCTGACTGTGTCAATCCTCCCTAATGACACACGGCTTCCGCTGCATGTGAAGGGCGGTGACCCCACCTAACCCCACTAACCCTTCTCCACACACAACCGACCCCTAACCCTAACCTGCAGTGCAACCGCAGGACTCACCATACTGCGCACACACGCACACACTGAAACAGTGTGCGTTTTATGTCTGGACATTGTTTCTGGTGCGAGAATGCTCCTTCCTGTACAGACAGTGCAGTAGGAGTGTTATAGAGGAGGGTGGCTGTAGCTCACAGTAGGAGGAGTGTTATGAGGGACGCAGGTAGGCCATGTAGGCCTGGAACTGAACTAACTGTCAACCCTGATCGAGTTTCTTCTGTGACCAATTTGACAACTCAGTTTGCTTCGATTCAATATTTGTGTTTACACATCCTCATCTGTGTGTGTTCGTAAGTCTATCCCCGTTTAGTATGTCTTTGAGACATCTGTGATTGGGTCAACGTGTATCCTCTGCATGTGTGTGCGCGTGTGCATGCGTGTGTACGTGTAGCCCCCGGCTGTCTCCATGTGGTTGTTATTTTAGGTCTTATGAAGGAATTCTCAGCCTCCCCCCTCCGTCGCTCCCCACGACCCGGGTTAGGATGGGGGGAAGGAGAGAAAGATGAGGGGGGGGAATGGTAAAGGCGCAAAGAGGACCGTGGTGGGGGAGGGCACAAAAAAGAAAGGGGTTTCAGTAGAATACAAGCTTTTTTTATGCGGTTTCTGACTTTTTTTCTGCATTCTTTATGTGCCTGTTTGTCAGACTTCTTGGCCATGTTTGCTCCTGGAGTGCTGCAAGGACAAAGTCTGGTATTTTGTTAGTCATGCTGTGTTATATCTGCTTGTTTTAGGTGGCAATGATCAACTCCACCAATCTGACCTTCATCCAGAACTTTACAGGGGAACAGGTAGGAGCATCAACACCCAGTCACCTTGCATGGCTGTATATAAACTGCTGCACCCTCGGCACCAGCTGCTATGGATTTTATTCTATTTTTGAATTAATTTAATTTGAATGGGGATGGGTGAAAATGAAATTAGATGAAAATCATGTAACCATATTGAATTTATGGTAAATACTCATGTTCCTTTGCTGTCTGTCCCTCAGATGGCCTCCTATTTTGGCTACTCGGTGGCTGTCACTGACCTGAATGGAGATGGGTAAGTAGATAATTTCTCTGTCACTCTAGACACACACACTCTATCGCTTTCTCTGAGCACTGAAACTGTGTCTAATGTTCCCAGGACCGACGATGTGCTGGTTGGAGCGCCCCTCTACATGGAGAGAGAGATGGAGAGCAAGCCTAGAGAGGTGGGGAGGGTGTACCTGTACCTGCAGATGGCCCCGCTCACTTTCTCCAAACCTGTTGCCCTCACCGGCACGCACACCTTTGGGCGCTTCGGCACGGCTATAGCACCCATGGGAGACATCAACCAGGATGGATACAATGGTATGCTGAGAGGATGAAAGACAGAAAGAAGGGGAGAAGAAAGGGAAAGATGAGATAAAAAGGAAATTGAGCCAGATGAAATTTATATGCGAAACAAAAATATGCAACTTGAGAGAGACAACAAAGAGAAAAAGAGAAGGAGAAAGATATGAATATGAGAAAATTTAACACAATCCTGATGCCACTGCATGAACTTTTTCCCCCTCTACTTGTCTGCTCATATGGGGCTGGTGATTTCAGGTAAACCCAATGATGGACTAATCTTTTTCTGTGTTTCCCATGGCTCTTGGACTGTTTTGTCTGACTGAGGAAATCCTATCAGATGCTGCTGCTTGAGCAAACTTAAAGCTCTTCAGCCAATCAGGAAGTGCAGCGATGAAAGGTTGTCTGTGTGAACTTGTTTCCTCCTGTGATGATAAGGGTTAAGGCCATGTGTGTCTAAGTGTGTGTGTGTGTGTGTGCGTGTGTTGGAGTTATTTTTAACTCACCAGATGTGCACTGAGATAAAATCATCTGGGAGTTTCTGTCCTGCAGCCCTGAGTTCATTCCTCTTGGATGTGTTTGTTTTATCCTTGCATTGATTGGACACACACACACACACACACACACATACACACACAAACCATGCAGCCTGCAGCCCAAATGCTCCATGAAGCTAAGACCTGCTTAAAAATGAATGAACTGACACACATATGGCCCTCGTATGACATCAATCCCACTGATTTGTGTTTTATTTATTCATGGTCAGTGTGTTGATGTGTGTCCCACCCCTTTAAACCCTTTAACCATCAGATCAATAAGCATTGGATCAATAATGAAGCTTTCTCTGGGCAGGCACATAATTCGCATCAGGCTTTCTGTCAAGATGTGATAGTCTCTGAGGGGTGGTGACGTGACCTGAGAGGACGTGGAGCCTCTCTGCCATCTAATAAGTCCATGCCTGTGCAGGATCTCATTATTTGACATTATGTTATGAAGTCACCATGGAAACATTTTGAGCAGGGTTTTCAGCAGCTTCTTTTTGCTAATGTCAAACTCCTGTGTTTAAGTATACCTGTGCAACTGTGTGATTATGTGTGCATAATCAAAGACAGATTCCTTTTCTGTCTGCAGAGACCTCATCACTGCTTTTGCAAAATTCTTTATAAAAGCAGAACCATAGCAATTTCCTCTCATCTTCATGGCTTTGTTGAGTGTTAGCAGAACCCTCATAATTTAGCTAATTTAATTTTCATGTGGCTCTTTTTGTTTTCATCAACCAACACTGGCTTTCTGTCATCATAGCTCGCAAAGTGTCAGCCACTTTCTGTCTGTGAGTAACAATCTCCTATAGTTTTGGTCTCAGTGATCACAGTGGGTGTTCCACATTTTGCTGTGGAATCATGTGGGATGCTTATGAGCAATGTCCATGAGTGACTTTCACATTTTTTAAAGTTTTTTTTTTTTACACAGCTATTCAGTTATGTACGCATACCCATGCATAGACATACAGACTCGCAGACACATATGCGTACACGCAGGCACATGTATACACTTGCATACACATATGGTTGCATTTATCTTCTCTACCCCACAATCTGCTTCATGTGGAACTAGTTGTTTAGGCTGAGAGAGAGGGGGTCCGGAGACAAACAGGATGTCTAGAGGTGTTTGGACAGTACTGAGGGATACTCTGATACAGGACAGTGTAATGTGTGGACATAAGAGGTTAAAGAGTGAACACCAAAAATGATGGTATGGTTAAAGAATCTATGACGTTTCGCATCAGGACAGGTGCTTGCAGTAGGTTAATTGTTTACTCTCTGTGCTCTGTTGTTCCACATCATCTTTTTACTATGGCCAATTGGGTCATACATAAAAACTAATTTAAAACTTTAAGTTAGAGAAGTGGAGGAATTTCCACATATTTTGTTTGCACTTTTCAAACTGGTTTGGAATGGGGTAGGAAAGGCAAAAAAATAAAAAGTGATGTGTACTTACATGCACCAATCAGGGAAACATTTAATCTGATGGGAATCTGATGAGAACCACACCCACGCAGTCCTGATCAGATTAGCCGAGTTTTTGAGTATTAAACTTTTCAGGGACTTCAAAGATATAGTTCAACATTTTCTCATTCACTTTCCTGCCTCAAATTAGATGAGAAGATCATTACCAGAGAGTAACTTTCAGTAAGGAAGCGAATAAGTGTATTTTCCAAAGTTTCAAACTATTCCTTTAAGACTTGTTGCCATGACAACCTCCTAGCTTACCCTCTATCCATTTGTCCCTTATTATAGGGTGATATTAAACCAAATGTTTCCCATGTAGAGCACAATACTAAGTAACCACAGATTACAGCAATGACCATAACAGTGTACAGACAGAAAAGAAACATAAAGAAGATTAAAAGAGAAAATTAATGAAAGGAGGTAAATGGCCATGCTGTCATGGTCCCCCAGTGCAGGTAAATGACAGTCAAGCTCTTTTCCTTCACTTTTTCCTTCTACCTGTATGTTTTCCTCTGCTTTCTGTCTCAGAGGGACCTTAACCCTCCTGATGTCTAAACCATGCGTGTGTGTGTGTGTGTGTGTGTGTGTCATCCCTTAGACGTGGCGGTGGGCTGTCCATTCGGAGGCGAAGACCGTGGAGGCAGGGTATTGATCTTTAACGGTAACAGAGACGTATCTACGCAAAGCCTGACGCTGAGCCAAGAGCTGAGAGCAGCCCGAACACCCAGTGGCAGCTTGCCTGGATATGGATTCACTCTGCGAGGAGGCCAAGACCTGGACAACAATCAGTATCCTGGTAAATACTCACACTCAACAAGTCAATCCGTCTCTACTCAGCTCCCCATGTTATAATCAAAATTCTTTCTCCGACTTGCATTCCTTCACTTCTGCACTTTCCGTCCAGCTCCTCTCATTACAGCTTCCCTCCTCTTCATTCTTGACCTCCACATTTCATGGTTCCCCCCATGCACTCCACTACCATCCCCATGTTCTCCTGCATTGCTTTCCTTCTCCTTTCTGGTAAAGTCATCAGTCAGAAGAAGGGGGTATAGGGATAAGTGCCAGCGAACTGCTGCCGCATTCATTCTTTAGGGACTTACAGTGCTCAAGTAGGGGAGAAAACATAAGATTGAGGGAAAGAAAAAAGTATAATAATACATTATCCGCATGTTCGGTCTGCCAGACATTCAAGCCTCGGCCCAAATCCCCAAAACTGTGAGCAGACAAAGCAGCATTCAATTAAATTACATGCAAGCTGCTCCTTATGTTACGTACCTCCTACTTACTTTAGCAGACACCTCCACCTTTTGACTTTACAAAACATATTAGAAACCTCACTCCAATCATACGAGACCCGAGTTATACGAGTGTGAAGCTGTTTATATACATCAGTTTTTAGTTCAGAAATAAATCCATTTGAAGCAAAGGAGGTCTGTAAAACCACTGTTTTACTACCTAATTTTCTCCCTAATTTAAAGCTACTCCACTCTCAGCATTACTCTGGCTTTGTGCTTCAACGGATTAGGCTGAAAAGGAGAATTTGTTTAGTTTTACCTTTTTCTTTTCTCCCCCCCCACTCCCTTCCCCCCTTTTTCCTTTTCATTCGGCTATAATAACAGATTTCTTCATTCCACAAACAGGATATCAACGGAAATACACACATGACTGCACACAAGTTCACATGTGTGGCTTGTGATCAGTTTCACTGGCGGCTAGACAGTGTGTGTTGAGCGTGTGCCAGGCTCCAGGTCAAAGCAAGACCCCGCGCAGACCCACTGAAAATCAGAGATCCGGGATTAAAAACACTGTACAGTAAATATACACACAAGGGTTACAGGTTGAAAATTCGGCTGGTGGAGGCCTTCTGGGAGGAGGAACTAGAGTAGAAACTCATGGGTGGCAGAGCTTTCAGCCAACACACACAGATACACACACACACACCGTATAAACATGAACACACACAAACGGCGCAGTGCTTGTGTCGTCTGTCATTAGAGAGCTGGCAGGCGGAAGTGAAACACACACACACACGCACGCACAGACACACACACATACATGGAGTGTCGTTAGCACGGTAGTAAAGTCACACTGTTCAAAGGAGCCAGAGATGTTTGATCAGCATTATGAGAGGACTGCACAGGCGTCTGGGAGGCCTGCTAGAGCCGCCATATGCTCCCATCGACGTTAATAGTCATTAGTCTGATGCAGGAACACAGAGAGAAGGAAGGACGATGATTAAGCTCCAGATTTAGCTGTAATGGACTTTTTTTCTAAAAGATTATGTCATATGTTTGTGGTTTTATTTGATAGCTTACAGCGGGAAACTAAACGAAAGGTGGAAGAGACTAAATATGGCTAAGAAGGAACAAAAATGACACCCACACTTAAGGTTTGGGCAGAATTAAGCTCAATTAAACAACAGCCACCTTTGGCACAGACACAGAAGCAGCGTGTGGCTCAGGCTAAAGGCTGGAGTTAAGGTTGGGTTCAGCTGTGTATCAAAAGGGGGTCAGATTGCTTCAGGGTGCATTTCAGGTTCACCAGAGGGGTCAGAGGTCAAAAACTGACAATGTTTTACCTGTCAATCACACCAACTTGCTAAGAGAGTTACAGACACAGAGACATGTCGGGGTCAGTGATTTGGATGTGTGCGGTGATGAGGGGTCATTAAGTTGGTCATTTGGTTGGTAAGTAGGTGTAAAATGTATTACTAGGCTCTGTGTCTGCTCGTAAATTTAACAACCATCGTTCATCCCATTCTGGGTGTACTTTAATCTTAAAATGAGACCAAATCCCCTCAGTATTATAGTTTTATACCACAAATGTAACTGTAAGAACTGCTATATTAGTCAGTCCTGAGAACCTCCTCCCAGTTTCGAAACAGCAAATTCCCCCTGTCTGCAGTGTGAAAAATGCAGTGCTAGTTCAGTATTTAAAATATGTATTGTAGCTGGCAAGTTACTGAATAGCCTTAAAATCCCACACACGCATCCAAGAATCAAGAAATCCTCCATTACTCTCTCAAAAACCGCCTCCTTTTCCACTGAGTGCCATTGACCTTTGGCATTTCATCACTGAGGCCGGTCCCCTGCAGCCAAACAGGCAGTCAGGGCAAGCAGCCAGTGACAGCTTGACAGTCTGTCTAAACTTTGGATGGAGGTTTTGTTTTCACAGCCAGGACAGACACCAGCTAAGCAGCTCAGTTACCAAGACTTTACCTGCACCTAGACCTGCCATCAGTGAGTGTGCGCACTGGCGTGTTAGCTCGTGTGTGTGGGTATGGTTCGGTGTGTCTCTATACACACGCACACACACACACTAACCTCAAATCAACAGTGGCAGGCAAGCTTTCCTGTGTGTAAGGAAATGGTATTGACGTGAATAGGAAAGTGGGCCGTTATTTGATTTAGCCCTCGGTGCAGCCATGCGCACACTCACACTCTCACACACTTAACCCCAAAGGTGCCCGGTCCTCAAATCAGTCTCATGTCATGCAGCAGTGCAAACAAAAGAGTCAGAGTGAGGAGTACAGATAGCCACTGTGTTGAAAACACACACCTAAGGTAGGAGTGGAGTTGGATTTTGGGATGGACAGAGGAATTTGGCCTGGGAGTTTCTGTCTCTCCTTCCTCTGCTGAAAACACACCTTGCCTCTGATGGCTTTCACAGATTGCAGTTTAAAGGCCAAGTGCGCTATCCTCTGCCCTCCTTTTCTCTCTATCATTCCCCCCTTCCTCCCCCTGTTCCTGGGCTCTTTTTCCCCCTTCTCTGTACCTCTCCAACTGCCCCACAAAACCCACATCTTGAGGTCCTTTCTCGTTTCAGGCTTTTCAATACAGTACACACACACACAGAGCCACACGCTCACATAGCGACATAGCACACCCCAGGGGGAAGAGGGACAGGGCTTAAATGTTTAATGTTGTGGTTTCAGGGGGACTCAGTGACTGCAGCCAAAGGCAGAAACAGATGTGCCTCTCTCAGATTCAATTAGTCCCTTTCTTCTTAGATACGCAGGAGAGGAAAGACACAGCAAATGTCAAGCAAAGTCTATAAGAGTGCACTTCCACCAGCTTAGTCCAATATTGCCTGCAGCAGGTCACCACAGCAATCTCCACTGATGGTGCTTCTAGTGCTCAAACAGTTTAACTAAACAATAAGTTGAACAACAGAAAACGTATTTCTGATAGTCAAATCAAATCAAATGCCAAACATTCACTGGTTCCCAATTCTCAAATGTAGTGTTTTTCAGTTTTATATCATTGTAAATTGAGTCTGGGAAATCGTAATAAGGGTTATTTACTATGTTATATAATTTTGTAGGTCAAAAAATGTATCAGTTAACCATAAAAAAAAATGTTTGTGATAAATGATTAATTGATAATGAAAACAATCATTAGCTGAAGCCCCAGTTGTCTCTCACTTAGCAGCATGAGGTTATTCTGTCTTTCTCAGGATCACACAACTTTAGTTTTTCTGCATCTGGCAGTCGTGGCTTGTATCCATTAAGTGTGTCTCACATTGTTTTAATCAGAACTTGTGTATGTGTCTGCATCGGTGTGTGTGTGTGCGGTATTCATTGGTATGTGTCCCCTAACCGCAGCCATTAAATACCGGCTCTATTTTAAACTCTGAGAGCCAATTAAAAGTGTGTGTTCATCACAAAACCCATGAAAACAAATAAAAATCACATATAGATGAGATATGTTGCTGCTTACAATTAGGAGCTGTTGCTATGCAGGCTGTTGGAAAATGTTTAGCAAAATGTGATTTAAGCTATGTGAACTTTCTAATGGCACTGGAATGCAGCGTGGGGTCCCTGTCTCGAAGCACACACACACACACACACACACACACATATATATGGACGCACACATACATGCTTGATGAACTCACAAACACACACGTTCTGTTTATAAATTTAGTCTGAACCGGGTCATGTGTGAAAAGATAAGAAATAAAAAGCATGGTGATATCAGAAAGTCAACTGAGTGTCACAGTGTGTTTAAGTGTGTGTGTCTGTGTGTGTAGGTGTGTGTGTGTATGTGTGTTAAACTGAGAAGTCTGTGTTTGATGAAGATTGCTGGAGACCTTGAAATCAGTCCCATCTGTGGCATTCTTTGAAGCTCTCTATTTCCCGTTTCTCTCTCTCTCTCTCTGCAGATCTGATTGTGGGGGCGTTCGGCGCTGGCGAGGTGTCAGTATACAGGTGAGAATGTACAAGACGTTCTGTCTAGTTTTGAAATGCTTTTTGTCATTCCTCACCTTTTTTGCCTTTCCTTATATTCTGTGAGACTTTATGCTTTATGTGCTATGTATATGCCTTTGTGTGTGTGTTTGTGTGTAGGGAGCCATTGTTGGCTTTGGGATATGAAGGATGGATGGTCACGCGCGTCTTCAGGTAACTGCCGTCCACGGCAAGTATACTGAAATGTGACTTAGCTCGTTGAGGTTCAATTTGACAGTACTCTGACCCCTAGAAGTAATCTTTGTTGTTATACTACATATTTATGGGCTATGGTACCCAGTTTTTTCTAGAGTTTTTATTCATCAATATTGGCAGATCATCAACCCCCTTTATTGTCCTGTTATGATATGAGTTGGCATGTCACTAGCTTCTTTTCCTATTAAAGGAAAGGAGAGGAGCGAGGAGCTTTTGAGTTTTGATCTTTTCTGTAAAGAGTGGGCCTTTCTGTCTGGTTGGCTTTTAAAATCACATATTAAAGCACTTGGAGTGACAGAGGTCGAGTAAGTGAGATAAGAAAAATAATATGTTTTTAAAGGTCTTGATGTTTGAGTTCTTAATACATCCGGCACTGAGGTTATTGCACGAGGGTTTACACACTGCGCGTGAACTTGCTCCATGGTGCCATTGGTGGAGTTTGCATCTGTGCAGTTGGAGATGAGTGATTGAGAGAAATGAGAGGACGAGGGTTGATTTTGTTGCCTTAGACACGACCAAGTTATGTGGTTGAGAAATGTGAGACTTGAGTCCTGTGTCTTATTGTATATTATAACACACGTTATTGAAAATGGGGAGGAGGAGGGTGTTTATTATGGATTATTGTTCTGGGAGCCCCACGGGGGAGAGAGAGAGCATTAAAGGTTCCGTACAGTCATGAGTAGTAATGTTGGAGTGGGGAAAAAAAATGATGTGAGGTGCCACGAAACTAATGCATCAATTAAGTGTTTCAGAACAATGTGGGGTGTTCGATTCTTGATCATAGTTGTACCTGGTTGGGAGGCAGTCTAGACGGCGACCTGTTGCTGGGATGCGTTCTGCTGTTGCTGGTTTATATATGTCGGCGCGGGTGATTCCTAGGAATCTGATGCTAGAGCTGGGCAATGATAATGGGACATCGATTGGTTAATTACCAATCCGACCAGAGGAAATTGCCAACTATTTGGTGACCACCGATATTTTTGTAAGAGGCGAGGGCTTTCAATATTTTTTTATCAGAAAAGGGTGCTGTTTTTACAGATTTACCCTCCACAAATGAGAGGCATTAAGTGTGTTTATAAGTGGACATAAATCCCATATGACATCCGCAGATACATGTTGTGGCTTACAAAGGAGCTGATTGCTATGGCAGGATGTTGGAAAAAATGTTAGAAAAGTGTTTAAGACTAATGTGAAACCTTATTCTAAGTGGAACACTGGAATGGGCAGGCGTGGGTAAATGTTGAAGAAAAAAAAAAAAAAAAACACATGATAATAAGTAACGAGGTAATGCTTGATGGAAATAAAAACACACGTTCTGTTATAAATTTAGTCTGAACCAAAGGGTCCATGTGTGAAAAGATAAGAAAGTTCTTAGATCTAAAGCCCATCCCTGTCTGATATTCAGGTAAAGTCCAACTGCCCTCGTCCACACGGTGGTGCCATAGTGTCTGTCGTCCTGGTGTGTGGTGCTCCGTGTGTCGGGGTGTGTCTAAACTGAGAGTCTCTGTGTTTGATGGAAGATTGCTGGAGACGCGTTGAAATCAGTCCATCCTGTGGCATTCTTTTGAAGTGCCCTCTAAATTTCCGGCGTTTCTGCCTCCCTCTCTCTCTCTCTCTGCTCCCAGTTCCTCTTCTCTCTCTCTCTCTCTCCCCCCCAATCCATCACACCACAACATCAATACACACAATTACATCTCTCTGCAGATCTGTTTTGCTGGAAAAAAAAGATGAAAGTCTGAATTCAAAAACAAAAAAAAAAGGAGAGGTTCGGCGCTGGCGAGTCGTGCAGTATAAAAAGATGAGATACTGAGATATATAAGGAAAATGGAACCTGCAATATAATAAGAAATACAAATAAATTATATAATTATCTGAAGGGATTAAAGTATAAATGATGAAATAACAAAATGAAAAAAACAAAAAAAAAATATGTGTTTAAAAAGAGAGAAAGAGAAAAAAAGAGACATGAGAAAATAACATCGATAATGAGTGGAAGAAGAATGATAAGACTCCAGAAGAAAAAGAATACTTAGAATAGAACGGAACAAAAAAAAAAGAGGAGAGAGGGAGAGAAAGGAGGAAGGAGGGAGGAAGAGAGATATAAAATATACTGGTAAGAAGAGCGTAGAAGTCTCCGTACTGAAAGCTGAACTGAAGGGGGACGCTGTTTAGTTTTCTCCGCAGCTGCCTGTTGTTTTAACGTCCGTCGAGATTCCACTAGAGTACGCCTTTGCAGCGAGCACTCACAATCCGCTCAACAGCACATCCTTATTTAATCTTATACTCGGCTGCTTCATCCCGCCTCTCAGTTCATCTGTGTCTGAAACAAACCTGTTCATTCAGGCCACAAAAAATTGTTTCGGATCTCTTTGTCATCAGTCAATTCAGCTTCGCATTGTTTATCTCTGAAATGTGTTACTTGCGCAGTTTTGTAGTTGCTGGTGATGTCAGTTGCCGTCTTCAGTCCGTCTTATCTATCTCTAAGCTAAATCTTTTCACAATTTTTTCCAGTGTTAATCTAACAAGAATCAAATATATACAAAAAAATTAAATTCATAGGCTAATGTTCCAATTCAACCATTTAAATCCCCAGTCAAGAATGTCTCTCGCCTCAGGATAGTGTGAATTTTGATATTGCTGACTCCTGATTTTTGTCGGTTGTGTGTTGGGTGGACAGGTCGGATGTTCTTGTAGCTCTTCACCAGCAGTTGCACCACTCAAGTTGTTAAAAAGTGCGTGCGGTGGCCCAGTGCTGTCCGTGCGACTGCATCAGGCTCCTTGTGTGCCCCACCAGTATATCACGCTATTCCCTGGGATCCCCGCCGGACAACGCCGCAAGCTTCGCCCCCGGGACATACGTCCATCAACACCCGGCTGGGTGTTCGAGACCGAAGAACGTCGGCGACGCTGAAAGTGCAGCTTAAAAATGAGAAGTGAAAACGTGAGATGCTATAACTGTCATATGGTGTAGTATTACGATGAACGCAATTGGGGTCATAACAATATTGACGACACAGACCTTACGTGTGTGTGCGGTGTGTTGTGTGGTGAATTAAAGGCTAAAGGGATCAAAGTCTTCCAGGAGAATATTCCACAAGCAGACCAATGTACCGAGACTAATGAGCCCACCCTGCTGCACTGAACGCCAGTGGCTATATCAGAAACCTTACTGCTTATAGGCTGTATCATGATATGAGTACGGCAGTTATCAGGTGTAAGATTGTATTAAAGTTCCCCTCTGGTGCTATAACACATTCTAGGCTGAAAGAAATCACACAACGCAGCACTGACCAGATGTGACAAATACTCTCTGCCGGTAACAAACAGGACCGTTCTTTCACACGCTGTTGCTGCTATCAAAGATCGCGTAACCTGTCAGAGGCGGATTACAAGAATTAGACACACATCAAAATGATGTATATAACTTTGATTCGCGTCTGTCTGTCTGTGTGTCTAATGGGCGATAATTTAGAACACAGCTGAAAAAGCATACGCGTATAACCTGGAAACGGCCAGATTTATGGGCTCTGCTGCAATTAATTTGATACTGCCATAATTGCTATTTGATTATTTTATGTTCCTGCTGGGCTAGCAGGCTGGCTTTGAACCAGTCTTGGGGTGAGTTTAGTCAAGGAGAACTAAA